GTGTGTGTGTGTGTGTACCTACTTAACCATATTTTGGGGACAAATTTGTACCCAAAAGTGAGCAAAACCTGACAAAATCGTCAAAAACCTCAATTTGTGGATGTCCTCATTTGTAAAACTGTTATACAAATAAAGTAAACAAAGTTTTTTTTTTACTTTTGAAATTGTAAAAATGCAGAAAGTTTTCTGTGAGGGGTAGGGTTAGGGGTGGGTTTAGGTTAAAAAGTGTATAACTATCTGTATATAAAAACAATCGAAGTCTATGTAATGTCCCCATTTAGATAGCTAAGTGTGTGTGTGTGTGTGTGTGTGTGTAAAATAGTATATCAGTCTGGCGAGTAAACAAAAAAATGTACTAGCCAATGGTGATTATATTGCCAAGGTGTGCGTAGAGGGTTGTTATCAGTGATCTGCCTCAGGAACACCTTCTCCTAGGGGCGCCATTCTCACCCTTTTTATTCACTGCCATCATTATTAACACACGCCTCTTTTATGAAGTAAATGAAAACTAAAGTAAACTTGAGTATCGGCTGCTCTGCTACAACCACCTACAAAAGGTAAAAACCTCATACATGCCTCACCAAACTGGTTTATAAACTGTAAACTGAACAACTTCATCATTATAACATAACCACATGCAATGAAAATCACTGGAAAGCCCCAACTCACAGTTACAGGCTAACCAAACCACTATGGTGGTTAAACTTTTACAGAAATCAGCTCAAGTTAATAATCAACTAGCTGTTTCAAACAAAACAGCTTGTGCATCTGGAATGTCTTACTACATACAGTTCAACAATTTGGGATGTAAGATTTTTTTTTTAAAGAAATTAATACTTTTAATCAACAAGGATGCAACAAAAGTTATGGTTAAAATTATTACCATTTACACAAAAATATTAAGCTGCACAACTGCTTTCAACATTAATAATAAGAAGAAGTGTTTTTGGAGCCCCAAATTAGCATATGAAAATTATTTCTGAAGGATCGTGTGACACTAAAGACTGGAGTAATGGCTGAAATTCAGTTCTGCCATAACAGGAATAAACTACTTTAATAAAATATATTACATATAAAATAGTTATTTTTAAATTGTAATATTTTACAACATTACACATTTATTTTTTCATCAAATAAATACAACATTTAAGCAGAACAGATTTCTTTCAAAAATGTTTAAAAAAATCTTACTGACCCCAAACTGTTGAACTGTTGCGTGTACACGAACAAAGAATTAGGCTACAATTCAGTTAACTTACAAAGGTGGGAGTTGGGACTAGTTTGATTATTTGGGACTAGTTTGAGGTTTACTGAATCCCAAGGCCATAATTTAAACTAAATATGTCTGTTATTGTTTGAACGACAAACAAAATACTCTTCACTCATATAAGTATCATACTTTTCCATCAATAGGGGATTAAATCATACACATCTTTTGGCCAAATGAACATGCACATCCTATTTCATTATGTAAAATGAAGTCTGTTGCTCATGTTGTGATTTGGCTAACAAACTAATGCCATGGGAGGCAAGCAATTAGATGCGTAAGTGTAAAACAGACCTTCCAGTTCTCCAAGATATTCAGTTTATGGAGCAAGATATTTAGGCTACTTGTCTGTGCAAATATAGATATTGTTGGGTCAACCATGACAGCTGAGATAATGTAAGATTGATTAAATTCAGCTGCCAATGTTATAACATTCAGGTCATGTTGCCTGAAGTTTATTTATCAGTCTGGACTCCTGATCTATGCATAACATGATGTGATATAAACAGCTGGGGCCTGTAACCATTAGGTATGTGAGGAAATTCCTCACAAATCTACGTATATGGGTCTGTTCCCTAACATTCAAGTCAGAGGTTGTCTCTCTTCATGCTGCAATGGAGGTACTGGAAACTATTCCAACAAATTCCATGCATGTCATCAGCTATTAGTGTGCAATCCTCAGCTGTTGTTTGAATCACTTGCACAACTGCAGCCAGATCAATCACGTGAGTTGGCCCATTGAAGCTTCTGGCATGTGACTTTATTTCATGAGACATGACCAATGCAGACACAATGTTAAGGCAGATTAAGCAAAGAGGAAGTGACTCTGCAGGAAACTGTTCAGTTAGAAAAAAACTGCAGTTGACATCATTTAAACTAAAAAAACTGGCAAATTCTGTGACAGTGTACAGTTTAGTAGTCTGATATGTGGTGATATGATATGTGGTGATATGATGCCTCTGTTGGGTATATTTGATAAACTATATAAAAGTAGCTATATTGAACAGAGGTATTGACCTTCTTGACTGTATCCAGCAATTAAAATCATACAGTAATATGGTCATTTCGATGTAGTCTATTGATTTAAACTCAATTCATGTAATGAAATAAAACTTTATATTTTGTCCCACATGTGCACTCAATCACATTCCTGCTTGATTTTCCCCATTAAAAATAAATAAATGTAACTTAAAATTGTGAAACCCTGGAACCTTTCTACAACATACCAGGAAGACAACCCTTACGAAAAAGAAGTTTATTCAAGTGTGCTATTAGTATACTTCTTTTAAACTAAAAATAGGAAAGTATACTTTTAGTCTAATGACAAAATCATAGAAATCAGTGCTTTGGACTACGTAGACAAATCTACGTATTTTTACAAACAGGGGCATGCTAAAAGGGATATTGTACAATGAGCAGGAGATCTACCTGTTCCTGGAGATCTAGCTACCTGGTGAGCTCAGTTCCAACCCTGATCAATCACACCTGCCTTTAATTATCAAGTGCTCCTGATTACTTGAGTTAGATGTGTTTGATCAGGGTTGCAGGAACAGGATTTGGCACCCCTGGTCTTGATTGGTACCGTTTCTATTAAACACGACCACTTATTCTGCATTGAGAAAACGTGTTCATACAAAGGCCTTACAACCATGTTATGATTATCTGATCACGTGATATAGACATGGCTTAAACCGATTTATACTCAGATATGGACGTGGCAGCAGCATCACATAGAAATATGTACACAGTCAAAAAGCACAAATACATAAATCGTGTGTTTAATTTAAACAACTATATAAACAATCAATACTCAAGACCAAGAGGATTTAAAGAGAAAAATCGATTTCATTGCGCAAGCACGTCGAAATCGAAAATGAACAGAGCACGAGTGAGGCACAACAGCACAAGACGACTGATGGATTGTATTACTATATTTTCATACAACACAAACCACAACAATGCAACAGGCAAGCACGATTGTCTACCCCACTAACTGTTGCTCGACTGAAACGCTTGAGAAAGTAAGCTTTAATTGCAGTTACACTGTCGAATAAAATACATTTATGATGATTTACATACACGTTCTACGTTAGCTACATTTCAGATGAATATAATAAACGTGAAAAGCGGGCTGCTTTGAGAAAAACTGAAGGCAGTTGATAGGATATGTTACCTGAAACCACCAAGGCTTCGTTTGGTCCTACCGTGTGGCAATTTCCCATGTTTTTCCTGCCCAACGCCTTTAAAAAGCTATTCAGAACGTGAGATTACTTCCTTTTTTCCCAACGACGACGGAACAGTGTATTAAAGACAGTCAGATACAACGACAAGACTCTCAGTGTAGTCTAGTGTACACCATATTCCTTCTGATTTCTGCTCGCATGCAGCAGCAGTCACCGCCCTTTCAGAGACATGACGACTGACTGTTACGACAATACACGCTACATTTGTGTTATTCTTCGATATTCCAGTAGAGGGCGCCATAGGATTTTAAATGAGCCTAAACTCCAGAGTTACTACATTTTGTCATTCCAGATCTTTTGCAAAAACATTCAATACAATGCTTTCACGACTATTTAAAGGGTTTGGTTTAGGCTTTTTATATTAATTATAGTTGACTACTTGTCCCTCAGTGCTTGACAAGCTCACATCAAAGGCAATAAGTCAACTTTACCCATGATTTATATTTATTTATTTATTGAATGCTGGTTCATTTTTTGAAGAAATTCCAGGACATAAGTAACCACCTAGCACATAAAAATGTGAAATTGGTTACGTCCTTATCTGACCTTTTTGATACCTTTTGAGCTGATGTTTTCTTGGCTTCATGCTCAGATGCATTTTTCTTCTCTTGCTGTAAATCAGTGCTAGGCAGCAATGTGCTCACCTTCCACCCAGAGCTTACCATCACAGCAGTGGTTCTCTGCTTTACGTTTCATAGAAAAGAGAAAGACATATCAGATAAACATTCAAAATTAAAGTCTTGAGCTTGAGCCCTATATCTTGGATTTAGAAGACACTTTAACCCAAAGTGACTTACAAATGGGGAACATCACAAGCAATTTGTAATAAGTCAACATGTCTCTATAGTACATAATGCCAAATTAAAGTAGCCTATAAACTGCATTAGTACACAGAACTGAGGTAAAATGAAAGAAAAAAGAGAGAGAACTTTTTTAACAGCAAGCCAAGTCTGTTTATACCTCATATTTTACATTAAGGGATTAAGTGTATACATGCACTTCATGGATCTGCTTTTGACACATGTAATATCTTGTTTATGAAAATTAATAACCTGAGGAGCTTGAGGAATCTACATTTTGATTGTGTGGTTTTCATAATATGTTATTCAAACATAATCTGTGCAGACTTGTCAACACTGACTAAAATGTAATCAGGCTGAAAGCTGCAGAGCACCATCCTTTTATGTTTATGGATGATGGTTGGATTAACACTTACAATATCAAAGTGTTGGGGATGGAATATTAATTTCCTTTTTTTTAGCTTAAGGGAAACCAGCCAGGATGATGCCTTCCATCGCCACTCCTCTTGGTCCCATGTAATTACATATCTGGACAGTCATAACAGTATCATAACATACATATCAGATGAGAGGCATGGCCCTCAACAGTTAAGCTTTGTTGTTGCCTGGAATGAGATAATATTCCAAAACCAAAGCATTCCCCTAAACACTTGGTGTTTTATTATTCAAGTCAAAAATGTATATTAAATAATGAATAATAGCTTAATATCAGCCTTCACAAATGCTTATTTGGAAGTTGCATTGTTTAGCTTTGCTTTCAACACTCAAAAAATATGGTTCTTTAAAGATTCTTTACTTGTAGTATTGGTTCTATTTAGAATCATATCGTCCTGAAGAACACTTTTATGCTGAAATGGTTCTTAAAGTGAGATTACTTCCTTTTTTCCCAACGACGACGGAACAGTGTATTAAAGACAGTCAGATACAACGACAAGACTCTCAGTGTAGTCTAGTGTACACCATATTCCTTCTGATTTCTGCTCGCATGCAGCAGCAGTCACCGCCCTTTCAGAGACATGACGACTGACTGTTACGGCATTACACGCTACATTTGTGTTATTCTTCGATATTCCAGTAGAGGGCGCCATAGGATTTTAAATGAGCCTAAACTCCAGTTACTACATTTTGTCATTCCAGATCTTTTGCAAAAACATTCAATACAATGCTTTCACGACTATTTAAAGGGTTTGGTTTAGGCTTTTTATATTAATTATAGTTGACTACTTGTCCCTCAGTGCTTGACAAGCTCACATCAAAGGCAATAAGTCAACTTTACCCATGATTTATATTTATTTATTTATTGAATGCTGGTTCATTTTTTGAAGAAATTCCAGGACATAAGTAACCACCTAGCACATAAAAATGTGAAATTGGTTACGTCCTTATCTGACCTTTTTGATACCTTTTGAGCTGATGTTTTCTTGGCTTCATGCTCAGATGCATTTTTCTTCTCTTGCTGTAAATCAGTGCTAGGCAGCAATGTGCTCACCTTCCACCCAGAGCTTACCATCACAGCAGTGGTTCTCTGCTTTACGTTTCATAGAAAAGAGAAAGACATATCAGATAAACATTCAAAATTAAAGTCTTGAGCTTGAGCCCTATATCTTGGATTTAGAAGACACTTTAACCCAAAGTGACTTACAAATGGGGAACATCACAAGCAATTTGTAATAAGTCAACATGTCTCTATAGTACATAATGCCAAATTAAAGTAGCCTATAAACTGCATTAGTACACAGAACTGAGGTAAAATGAAAGAAAAAAGAGAGAGAACTTTTTTAACAGCAAGCCAAGTCTGTTTATACCTCATATTTTACATTAAGGGATTAAGTGTATACATGCACTTCATGGATCTGCTTTTGACACATGTAATATCTTGTTTATGAAAATTAATAACCTGAGGAGCTTGAGGAATCTACATTTTGATTGTGTGGTTTTCATAATATGTTATTCAAACATAATCTGTGCAGACTTGTCAACACTGACTAAAATGTAATCAGGCTGAAAGCTGCAGAGCACCATCCTTTTATGTTTATGGATGATGGTTGGATTAACACTTACAATATCAAAGTGTTGGGGATGGAATATTAATTTCCTTTTTTTTAGCTTAAGGGAAACCAGCCAGGATGATGCCTTCCATCGCCACTCCTCTTGGTCCCATGTAATTACATATCTGGACAGTCATAACAGTATCATAACATACATATCAGATGAGAGGCATGGCCCTCAACAGTTAAGCTTTGTTGTTGCCTGGAATGAGATAATATTCCAAAACCAAAGCATTCCCCTAAACACTTGGTGTTTTATTATTCAAGTCAAAAATGTATATTAAATAATGAATAATAGCTTAATATCAGCCTTCACAAATGCTTATTTGGAAGTTGCATTGTTTAGCTTTGCTTTCAACACTCAAAAAATATGGTTCTTTAAAGATTCTTTACTTGTAGTATTGGTTCTATTTAGAATCATATCGTCCTGAAGAACACTTTTATGCTGAAATGGTTCTTTGTGTTAGCGTTTAGGCTTCTCTACTCCCACCTTTTTGTTTTTCAAATCATTATCTCTCAAAGCTCCTCATTACTGATTTTCTGCAGCTATCCAACAACACAGACGATCAACACACTCTCAACAAGTATATGATTTCATTCTTAAATTTAAATACAAATTTAACTTTAAAATTGTAACTGGTTTCCAAACAAACATGTTCTTTTCTCTTTTTAGTTTTTTGGTCACATGTAAGTGTGAGCAGCTCTGTTAAGCTGAGGACACTGCTCTCCTCTTCTCCACTAAGTAACAGCGATACTGAATTTATAATCCATATTGTTAGATTTTTTTTTTTTTATTACTTGGGTTTATGCAGAATCATACCCAGTCTCACACACACACACACACACACACACACACACACACACCTGTGACGATATTTCACTGGAACTTGGTCTTCATCACATCTATTTTCTGATTCTATTTTGTGTTTTTCTTCTTTATGTATTTATTCATGTTCATTGTCAATTGTCATTTATTAATATACTCTGCTAATAACTGTTGTTTAGTGCATTGACATTTTTTGCTACAATTTCACGTCAAAAAAAGTACATAATTCACACAACATGCAGTTGTTGTTGTTTTAATGTAAAACCCTAAAGAAGCTACAAGATATGGTAAATAGAGAGGCAATTTTTTAAATAATATTAATAATACTAATATTAATTACATAAATATACTAATGTAACAATATTAATGAAAATAAACAGTAATTAAAAAGGTTTTTACAACACCATTAAGGTCCTATATAGCACTTTCAAAGCATGGATCTTTATGGAACCTTATAAAAAGGGTTCTGCTCTCTATTATAGAGCAGTGGTTCTGCTATTATTACAAGCAAAAGAACCCTTTTCTGGTACTGTTTTGCGTCGCTTCACCAATTTGCATTTTCAGTTCTAGATGTAGACTTATCATTTAGACTTAATGTGCAAATTTAAATTAATTTTTTTAATGGAATGTTCACATTTAGATTTAATAATTACATTTTATTTCTTCCAAACAGGCTACTTTTTATTGTTTTCGGCTTTTCATATCACTGCTGTGCTGATGACACTCAACTCTACCTCTCATTCCATCCTGATGATCCGACGATAGCTGCTCGCATCTCAGCTTGTCTAACAGACATTTCTTGCTGGATGAAGGACCATCCCCTTCAACTCAACCTGGCCAAGACAGCACTGCTTGTGGTTCCAGCAAACCCATCGTTTCATCACAATTTTACCATCCAGTTAGGCACATCAACCATAACTCCTTCAAAAACAGAAACCTTGGAGTTATGATTGATGATCAACTGACTTTCTCAGACCACATTGCTAAAACTATTTACAACACCATTAAGGTCCTATATAGCACTTTCAAAGCATGGATCTTTATGGAACCTTATAAAAAGGGTTCTGCTCTCTATTATAGAGCAGTGGTTCTGCTATTATTACAAGCAAAAGAACCCTTTTCTGGTACTGTTTTGCGTCGCTTCACCAATTTGCATTTTCAGATCTAGATGTAGACTTATCATTTAGACTTAATGTGCAAATTTAAATAAATTTTTTTAATGGAATGTTCACATTTAGATTTAATAATTACATTTTATTTCTTCCAAACAGGCTACTTTTTATTGTTTTTGGCTTTTCATATCACTGCTGTGCTGATGACACTCAACTCTACCTCTCATTCCATCCTGATGATCCGACGATAGCTGCTCGCATCTCAGCTTGTCTAACAGACATTTCTTGCTGGATGAAGGACCATCACCTTCAACTCAACCTTGCCAAGACAGCACTGCTTGTGGTTCCAGCAAACCCATCGTTTCATCACAATTTTACCATCCAGTTAGGCACATCAACCATAACTCCTTCAAAAACAGAAACCTTGGAGTTATGATTGATGATCAACTGACTTTCTCAGACCACATTGCTAAAACTGTCCAGTCCTGCAGATTTGCTTTATACAACATTAGGAAGATCAGACCCTTTCTTTCAGAACATGCTTCACAACTCCTTGTTCAAGCTCTTGTTCTGTCCAAGCTGGACTATTGCAATGCTGTCTTGGCAGGTCTTCCAGCCAGTTCTATCAAACCTTTACAATTAATCCAGAACGCGGCAGTAAGATTAATCTTTAATGAGCCGAAAAGAATGCACGTCACACCTCTGTTCATCAGTTTGCACTGGCTACCAATAGCTGCTCACATAAAATTCAAGACATTAATATTTGCCTACAAAACCACCACTGGCTCTGCACCCCTTTACCTAAATTCATTACTTCAAACTTATGTGCCCTCTAGAAGCGTGCGTTCTGCAAGTGAACGTTGCTTTATTGTGCCATCCCAAAGAGGCACAAAATCACTTTCACAGACATTTAAATGAACTGTTCTCTCCTGGTGGAATGACCTGCCCAACTCAGTCCGAGTAGCTGAGTCCTAAGCAATCTTCAAGAATCAGCTAAAAACACATCTCTTCCATCTTTATTTGCCCCTCTAACTCTAGCACTCTCTATTCTAATTCTATTCTTTAAAAAAACTTGCCCCTTTTAGACTTGCACTCTATTCATTTACTGCTTGTTTTCTTTAAGGTCTCTAATCTTTTTGTATTCTATTTGTTTTCTTTTTATTTATTATGCAATTAACAAAAGCAAAAAAGGCCTCTAACACTAGCTTTCTCTATTCTTTTTCTATTCTATGTGTTTTCTTTTTATTTATTATATGATAAAAAAAAAAAACTTGTGTATTGCATTAAGCTAACTGAGACTTGTTATAGCACTTGCATATCATTGCTCTCTTGTTGATTTTGATTGCTTCCATTGTCCTCATTTGTAAGTCGCTTTGGATAAAAGTGTCTGCTAAATGACTAAATGTAAATGTATGTAAATGTTTTTATTTTTGTTTATTTTTAATTTATGCTCCATAGAATGACTATAAGTAAAAAAAAAAAAAACAATACTGCAATGTCACAAAAGCTTTATTTTGCATGACTGTAAATATTACACTCTGTAATCAGGCAACAGTGTACAACAGTGATTAGTGATCATATTTATCAGATTTACATTTCAATATAAATTTCAGTTCAAGATTGGTCATAAGGATGTTGGCTACTGATTGTAGGCTGCTAATATCATATGTTCTTCACTTAACAATTTCTCATATGGATTCATATTTCAGGCTATTTCTTCTGCAGGCTCCTAAAAATAATCAGAAACAGTTGATAGTGAGTCTTCTCTGCTTATTAAGTATAAACAAGAGAAGTATTCATATTGTATTTCTCACTCTGCAGGTCTGTGGTGTTTGCTTCTTTTATAAGTTGTGGACATCAAGTATAAACAAAATATAAAAATATTAAAGGGTTATACTAACCTCTTTTCAACAGCCTTCATGATGTATTTCTGCGTGAATTTAGATTCTGGATTCAAGCATTTCTGCTCTGTACTATTTTTCAGAGTAACACTACAGAAGACAAAATAAGCTGCATGATTATTTATGTCATTCAACATATTTAAACAGAGATGTACAATATTTATGTAAATAACGGTATGTGCTCACACAATCTCCTGGGTTTTACAAGAGTGACTTGGTGGTATGATTTCAACCTTCTCAATCAGTTTTGGAGAAACCATGTTTACACCTTTGCCAGCACAAAAACACCTGCCCTTTGGAGCTCTAGCCTGACCTGGAAGAAAAAAACAGAGCATTTTACCATTATCTACAACAGCCTGCCATGCAAAAAAGGTTTCACAATATAAACGCAAAACATCAAAAACTTGAATATTTGCATTTCTTCAATCTGCAAAGTTCAGAGATCAAACTCACCTTTCACCTCTACAACAAGCAGGCAGCCTAGAATAACCACAGCTGTAATGATTTTCATAATGTTGATCTTCTGTTTTCACCTCCCTAATGGCTGGTTAATGAAGTTGTGGATGATTAAGTTCAGCTGCTTTATTTTTATGTTTTTATAAGGGATTTTCCCTCCCTGAGATTTTTTCAGTTTTTGTTTCTATAGTCCAGCATCTGTACTTGCCTAGTTTCCCAGAAACACTTTCTTTTCATGCAGTCTTGACCTTTCCAAGAATGAGGAAGGAATCATTCAAATGATATTTTTCTTTTGTCAATATTAGACTATAATTACAATAAAATTGCAATTAGATTGCATGATAATTATAATAATAATGTGTATTAAATGACACAATGTTTATGCTTTTTAATGTTTTAATGCTTTTCGTTGCAATAACAATGTAATATTGCAATTATAGTCTAATAGACTATAATTGCAATATTACACTATTATTGCAATGAAAAGCATTAGGCCATTAAAACATTTTTAAAAAGTATCACTGTGTCATTTAATACACATTTTAATTATGGATTTAAAGACAGTCTGTGTATTAGTAGTGGGGACTTCCGGTGACTCTTTATGCAGGTTTGAATAGTTTTTCAATAGATTTGTTAAAAAAAACACTACATTCAGGTACAACACAAGTGTGATTGAGTGAGTCAGTGAATCATTTACTCAACCGAATCTTTCAACAACCTGGGTCATAGCTGGACCTTATTTACTGTTGCACAAGCCCCATTGAAATGCCACTGTGCTCTAGTAAAATATTACTGAAACCCTTGCCTGACAATGGAGATGACTGTATACCAACCTAAGAATCTTTTTGAATTATGTACATAAATAATTATGTAATGTGTGTTTTCTATCAGCTGTTTTGAATCCGAACTTAGATGCCAGATGGTGATTGAATCAGTCTGTCAAATGGGTTTGCAAAAAGGTCTGAGATTGTTAGTAACGGGATGTTTTATATGTGTATTTCTGCGTGAATTTAGATTCTGGATTCAAGCATTTCTGCTCTGTACTATTTTTCAGAGTAACACTACAGAAGACAAAATAAGCTGCATGATTATTTATGTCATTCAACATATTTAAACAGAGATGTACAATATTTATGTAAATAACGGTATGTGCTCACACAATCTCCTGGGTTTTACAAGAGTGACTTGGTGGTATGATTTCAACCTTCTCAATCAGTTTTGGAGAAACCATGTTTACACCTTTGCCAGCACAAAAACACCTGCCCTTTGGAGCTCTAGCCTGACCTGGAAGAAAAAAACAGAGCATTTTACCATTATCTACAACAGCCTGCCATGCAAAAAAGGTTTCACAATATAAACGCAAAACATCAAAAACTTGAATATTTGCATTTCTTCAATCTGCAAAGTTCAGAGATCAAACTCACCTTTCACCTCTACAACAAGCAGGCAGCCTAGAATAACCACAGCTGTAATGATTTTCATAATGTTGATCTTCTGTTTTCACCTCCCTAATGGCTGGTTAATGAAGTTGTGGATGATTAAGTTCAGCTGCTTTATTTTTATGTTTTTATAAGGGATTTTCCCTCCCTGAGATTTTTTCAGTTTTTGTTTCTATAGTCCAGCATCTGTACTTGCCTAGTTTCCCAGAAACACTTTCTTTTCATGCAGTCTTGACCTTTCCAAGAATGAGGAAGGAATCATTCAAATGATATTTTTCTTTTGTCAATATTAGACTATAATTACAATAAAATTGCAATTAGATTGCATGATAATTATAATAATAATGTGTATTAAATGACACAATGTTTATGCTTTTTAATGTTTTAATGCTTTTCGTTGCAATAACAATGTAATATTGCAATTATAGTCTAATAGACTATAATTGCAATATTACACTATTATTGCAATGAAAAGCATTAGGCCATTAAAACATTTTTAAAAAGTATCACTGTGTCATTTAATACACATTTTAATTATGGATTTAAAGACAGTCTGTGTATTAGTAGTGGGGACTTCCGGTGACTCTTTATGCAGGTTTGAATAGTTTTTCAATAGATTTGTTAAAAAAAACACTACATTCAGGTACAACACAAGTGTGATTGAGTGAGTCAGTGAATCATTTACTCAACCGAATCTTTCAACAACCTGGGTCATAGCTGGACCTTATTTACTGTTGCACAAGCCCCATTGAAATGCCACTGTGCTCTAGTAAAATATTACTGAAACCCTTGCCTGACAATGGAGATGACTGTATACCAACCTAAGAATCTTTTTGAATTATGTACATAAATAATTATGTAATGTGTGTTTTCTATCAGCTGTTTTGAATCCGAACTTAGATGCCAGATGGTGATTGAATCAGTCTGTCAAATGGGTTTGCAAAAAGGTCTGAGATTGTTAGTAACGGGATGTTTTATATGCAGAAAACAAAAAGAGTGGCAGGATGAGGTGAATTTTTACCTAGAATCTTTTGTAGGAAACAAAATTTCTAGCATTATCAGCTATGAAGCAGCTCTTTATTGCGCATGCAGCTTGTGAATGACTCTGCTCGACAGGCAAAGACCATTTATATCCATCCAATAGTATGAAAAAAAGTATCAAAATATGGGGACATGTTTTTGATGAGGGTATATGCCCAATTCAGAAAGAAATGCTAGAAATATTCCTGTGACATTTGAATCTGCTATGGCTTAGTTTCAAACTATTTTTCTTAGCTGATGAATAATAATCAAAAGTAACTGACTATATTGTATCTAAAATATACGTCACTCAATAATAATTCCTTATTTTCATATTTACATTGCGCTGTTGTTGTTCTGAATATCAGCCTGCGGCCTTGTGCAGACAGCTGAATCACAGTGTGGTGATGTAAACCACAAACTAGTACACAGACCAACATTTCTTTTAAAAATAGAGCTTAATAGAAGTCAGTGGTTAGTGGCTCTCACTACCCTTTTAATTTACATTGCATGTTCTATTTAAAGTCTGATAAAAAAACAGTGATCTGTTGAAATTTGGAAATGCTGACATACACAAATTACTTCAATATGGGAAAAACATGTATAAGAGTAGTATAACTGGTATAAACACAGCTGTTTTTCAGGCATATCAATATAGTAGAGAATATAGATAGATAGATAGATAGATAGATAGATAGATAGATAGATAGATAGATAGATAGATAGATAGATAGATAGATAGATTGATAGATTACGGGTATGGGGTCTCAATGTCTGCTGTATACAATGAAAAAATAAGAGTGAACACTAATTGCTTCATTAGTGTTGATTTGTAGTATTCACTCTATTTCATCACATTCTACAAGATGAAATGTAAACTGTCAGATATAAAATATCAAATGACTGATGATGATCTGTTTGCAGAATAGAGCAGAGAATGAGTGATCACCTCCTCTCTTCCTTTTTCAAGAGAGACTCATTTGTTTAAACTCTTTGTTCCATTAATGATGAGGCAACTAACAATAGTTAGAGCAGAAGTTCCCATGTTTAAGGTTTATTTTTTTTTATTATTTTTAACAGCTTCTTCTGATCACAGTTAGAAGTAGTTTAGTCTAGAATTTGGAATGGATGGAATGGATTTGATGGAAATGTAGCTTGCATGTCCTTTTCAGTTGATTGATTTATCTAGTGCAGTGGCAATCTTACGGTGGCCGTAAAGTGCAAAGCAAATCACAATTCTGAAAACAAAATAACAAATTACAAACGCAAATGCAAGTCTAAAAATCAAAATAACAATTCAGAAAGCACAACAACAATTCAAAAAACATTATAACAAGTCAGAAAACACAATGACAAATTCGAAAAACAAAATAGCATGTCAGAAAACACAACGACAAATCTGAAAACAAATGAACAGGTCAGAAAACACAACGACAATTCAGACAAACCGGAAGAGGTAGGTATAGTTTGAGACAGCGCCATTGGTTTGGGATCACTCACCGCTGACTGGATGAGACATCTGTCAATCAACGTATACAGAGAAGAACCAGCCGAAGAACAGCAGAGTCGTGGTAGAAAGTTCGGAGATGGTAGTAAAGTAGTTCAGTTTAAATGTATTGTATTAATTGCCCTTACTATGGAATAATTTTGCTTTCTGACTTGTTATTTTGTTTTCGAATTTGTCATTGTGTTTTCTGACTTGTTATAATGTTTTCTGAATTGTTGTTGTGCTTTCTGAGTTGTTATTTTGTTTTTTAGACTTGCATTTGCGTTTGTAATTTGTTATTTTGTTTTCAGAATTGTGATTTGCTTTGCACTTCTCTGCCACCGTACAATCTATTTTAGTTTGCACTGGCAAAAGTCTTTCTGCTAGCCAGATCTGTCAAAAATAGCTGCTTATAACTGAGACACTTGTTTACAATAGTTGCAATCTTTAAAGCTTTATTGAGTTCCCCCATCTCAGACCTCGTGTTTTACACACCAATGGGACTATTGCTTTTTGTAAATGGAGATGCATTTTCACTCAGAATGTCAGAATGCAAGAACTGCTCTGAAAGGTCAGAAGATGTAATAGATAAAAAAAGCTTTATTTGACAACTTTGTGGACAATGAAAATACAATCATACAGCAAATTATAGAAAGACTGTACATATGACACATTGTTCAGTGGTTCTATTAAAATATGTTACCCAGTGGTCACATAAAAATAATTGAATCAGCTTAGACATTAGGAAATATTTAGTTTTTTTCTAAATTGAACTCCAACTTATTAGGCAGAATATTAATACATCTTAAGTCAGTGAAGTCATTTGAAGGATGTTGGTGCTGATGATGATGTCATGGTGTTCTTCAGGGGCACAGAGACAGTTGTACTGTGTGGCACAGTCTGCTGGCTCCTGTGAAGATCAGAAATCATTTAAATTTAGTTAATTTTCCCATTAATTAATTCCTTTTTTTAAATTACCACGTGTCTCTCTCTGCCACACAAATCTACGTCTTTGCATTAACTATGAATGTGAAGCATGAGTAATATACTTAAAGCAGACATTCTCACCTCTTTTCAATAGCCTTTATGATGACATTTTGAGTGAATTTTGACTCTGGATTCATGCATTTCCGTCCTGCACCATTCTTCAGAGTCACACTATGAAAGAACAAAAGCAATAAGCCAAGTCTTACTCGTGATTGTTTTACAGTTGATGAATTAATTGAAAATGAAAATGAATCAATGTATACAAATGTAGGCTATGCTTACATAATCTCATGTTTGCGACAAGATGGACTTGGAGGGATGATTTCAACTTTCTCAATGTTCCTCACTAAAACCATGTTTGCACCTTTGTCTGCACAGAAGCACCTGCCCCTTGAAGACCTGTCCTGTCCTGGAAGAGAAATGTCATATATTTCATTAGAGTCTATTAACTGCAAAACATTACCATAAACAAATGTACATTCTAAAGATATGCCGAGGCTCTTGATCTGCGATTCTCAGAGCTCAAACTCACCTTTTACCCCAACAGCGATCAGGCAGGCGAGAAGAACAAAAGCTGCAATAGTCTTCATTGTTTTCTTGTTCTCGATGAACTGTGCTTGTGTTATGTCTGGGTCAGTGAGATTATGACTGAAGGACTTCAGGAGTTCATTTAAATACTGTAGGATCAGGGCTTTCCCCTTAGTTTTAGTTCCCATTTTTAGGTTTCAATACTCCGTCTTCCTCTCTTTTTTCTCTTTTTATTGCGATTTCTCGGAAGCACTGTCCTTAACCCTTATGGAGAGAAGCCTTGATTTAGAGCACCTTGAGTGTAACTTTCCACGAATGAGGAAGGAAATGTTGCTTAATTAGACTGGAATATTTGTGCGAATTATGATTTGGTAGGAGTACTACTAGACGTTAGGCTAAAACATGAAAGTGAAAAACTCTTGGGGCATTTCAGATATTTTGTAAACATTTCAATTGATTGAATTTGATGCCTTTTATTGTCTGTTTTTAAATACATGACAATCTGTTGTATACATTTTGTGCATAAATAAATTAACAATACACAGAAATATAGAAAATGCACATTAAACCTACTTATTAACACAATCTTTTGCAATTATTTTAATGCTAATGAACCATTGTTTGAAAGAAAAAAGACTGCAGGTAAAACACACAGATACACCCAAGTAGCACCCAACAATTTCTAAGCATTCAATCTGGCTGAATCCTGCTGATTTAGTAGTTTATAGCTACACTTTGAAGTTGTAGTTTGTTTCATTTATGACTGATTACTAACTGTATGTACTGTATCAGCTTACTCGAAAATCAAGTTTTATAATCATTCTTAATCACCCTCTCTCTTCAACCACCAACATCCCTATCTGCTAGGACATTATCACATTTTTTTTTTTTACAGATTTTTTTTTCTTGCAGGGTAGTTTTCCTGAAGAGGTCTCCCATTCAAGTCCTAACAAGACCCAACCTTGCTTAGCGGGAGAGTATTAGCTGTGGGTCATCATTAAAGTAAATTTTCAATGTAGTAACCGAAAGGTTTTTTAACACTATAGTTCAGCCAAGCCACTAACCACCAATGAAAAAATTAAAATGCCTCTAAGCTTACTCTAAAAGAAATTGAATGGATCTATTGCCACAACTTAAATAAATGCATAATTGCAAATAAAAAATAAAAAAATCTAATTTATTGATTTACTTGAACCTTTATGAAAAGTTATATTGACATAATAATGTTAATCATTACATCTATTTAATATTGTATATAAACTCAAATTTCTGTCAATTTCTGTTATTTTATATATTTTTTGACATGTTAGTGTTTAATACTGTTGTGTTCTACATTAAAAAAAAGTTTCTGTTATGTTGAAGTTTTTCTGGTTAACATTTCTGAAGAGTAGTGCTCATGGTTAGGTTGTAATGTAAAAACTGTATTGACTCTTTGATGACTGCCAGTGAACATATTTTACTTCATTAAATGCACTTGATAATTAAGTTACATTTAGCATGTGATATACTAGCCACAACGTTTTTTAGCAAGTTGATAAAATTTACAAATATTTACATTTACCTATTCAACGCAAATTCTATACAGTAATTTTTGGACTGTGAAATAAAAAATAAAAAAAATGACCCATTTCCATCATCACAAAGTGTGGCTGGGATCTTCTGGTTTTGCTGGTGTGCTTGTGGATGTTGAATTTATTTGTGAAGGCACTGAGAAACCACAAACAAGGATGTGGGACAAAACATGCATTTTCTGTGGAAGATGGTCAGTTGTTTTCACTGCCTCTTTATTTTCAAGCCTGTCTAAACAACATTTGTGACATCTGATGTAAAAAGATGCTAACTTAAATACTGGCCATAAATGTGTGTGAGTTATTTGTCCAGTATAAATGAGTTATTCTCTTAAGCATTCCTGGGCTGTTTTTTAATTTGAGATAATTTGAGGATAAGCTGGCAAAAACCAAACCTTTAGGAAAAGTTTCCAGACAAAAATGTCTGGGTTATGCCATATGATTTTATGGCATGTACAACACTTAATGTAAAGCAAGTAATGTTTGTTTGCAGCTTATTAAATATTTTAATTTTCTAATGATGAAATTCAGTGACTAATTAGAGTTCTGATGTTGAAAAACCAAAGAGTTTAAGACATAAACAAACCACAAATCAGGTCATTAGAGAAAACTTCTCTTTTCACTGGAATTTCATCAAATGTTTTCACTGCCTTTTTCTTTATATAGGATCTTAACCAGACATTATGTTGAAGTCAGCTAATGACAATTATAAAAAATGAAAGCAAAACTGAAAAAAAAAAAAATGAAAACTGAAACTTTGAGAAATCTGGAAATGCCACTTCAACTGCTACATATTATTGAAAAATAAATTAGAATGATTATGCATGCACAATATAATATACAAAGTTACTTTTTTATTATAGACTTTTTCATTATCTGAGTTATGAAATAATAAACTTTATGCACTGTCTATTAAACCATTTTTTAATAATAAGATGAGGTCGATCCATATTTTGTCTTGTTGTGGAGTTAGTTTTCCTCAAACTCAATATATGAACACTTGTATTCGTTGTCTTCTTACTTTGGAATTGTAAGTACTGACTCTTCAGAAAACACTCAGACTCTCAAATAGCTGTAATAGTGACATTTTAAGCTTTAAAGCTAATCTACGTTGTCTGGGACAGCTGGACAGTCTTTAGTAATAAGGTAGACAGGGTAAGGTTTTGGCCCAGTTGTTTCTGCTCTTTTTATTATGTCATATAATAACTAGAAAAATCACTTTGGACCCCTCACATTCAGCCCACTTCCTCTTTGAACATCTGGCAGGCGCTACAGAGCAGAACAGCCAGGCATAAAAACAACTTTTCCCCTCAAGCTATTCCACCTGAACAATACATAACATCTCAAAACTGTACATTTTATTACAGTAGTATTATATTTTAAATGTATTGTCTATTCTCTATTCTATATCTTTTCTAATCTGCTCTAGAATAATCTTCTCTCTTTATTATTAGTGTTATGTTTTTTATTTTATTTTATTACCTTAATTTAACTGGAGGCTCCTGTCACCAAGACAAATTCCTTGTGTACTTGGCAATAAAGCTCTTTCTAATTCTTAAATGTTAGAATTCATTGATTCATTCTGAACGAATTCATTCATTCAGTAATAATATTAATGTATACATTAGAATCAATCATTCTGAATTCAGTTGACAGCTATTATGACATCACTTCAGTATATTTGAAAATATAGGCCTGTTTATGATTCATGGAATCATATGCAATCCAGATGTATCACTTTGAAAAATATTTACACATGAAAAATGAATGAATGAATGAATACATTAATTAATTTATTTATTTAAACAAATACATATTTTGTGCATGTTCTCCAAAAATCTGATAGTTGGGATAAGTTTACCTCAAGAGGCTACTTGTTCCAAGTACAAGGTCATCTTAACCTAGTGGGCCAAGATAGCCTCCCTTGATTATCAGTTGCTTTAAAATCTAAATTAGAGAATGTTTCCATCCCTTGAAGATGCATCCTTGTCCTTTATGCTATAATGTGTTAAATGATCTTACCCTGTATTGGCATGTACAAAACTGGGTAATTCAGTTTTTGCCCTAAGAATGACCAGTGGCAGCATTTCACTAAAACCTATAGAGTATGGCAGAATTCCCTGCGGCCACAACGACAACATTACTGAATGATAAACCCACATTGCCTAAGTGCATGATGCACTATTAAATAAAATACACAGTGAACAGCATTAAATATAAAAATAAATATATTTTGTTTTATTGCGTAAGTGGGTATAGCAGTGAGGTGGGAGCTAATCAAAAAGGCGCGCGATAATTGAAGCAATTTAGACTATAAATATGAGGATGTGTTACAGCTTCCCCTTAAAGCTCTTGTCTTTTTCTCCTTTTCTATCTCTCCAATCCTATTCTGTTCACAGGTGATTGGAGATGAGTGGATAGTGCATACCTCCCGCTTTATTGCCGTTTGCTGATTTTTGTAAAATAACTTCTATTTTTGCTTTTCAAGTAAAAGAGTGGTTTCAGTTTAATATGTTGCAGGCTCATTTTTTGGTAATAAATAATTGATAATAAATAATATTGATGATAATAAATAATTTAATAATATTGGGCTTGTTTTGGGCACCTTTTTGAAGCTGCTGTTGCTTATTTGTCTTGCGAGAGTTGGCAACAGTGCATGAATTGTCACTATTAGGAACCTCGACTCATAGCAATGTTCAGGTCTGTTCTGCTATCTGGATTATCTTTAACGAGCATCATCATGATGTTTTGTCTGAACTCTGAATGCTAGGGTATGGCAACTGCCATATATTGACATACATAAACGCTGCCCCCGACAAAGACCATTCATTTATGGAAGATTTTTTTTTATAGTGGACACAGATGGACAATAAATAAATAATAAACATCATAAGTGAAATGTATAACAGCAACAACTGTTTATTAGTTTTATGAACATAAAACAAGAATATACACAAAATGAAAAAAAAATAATTACTACACAGTCAGTTGCAACAGTTAACCAGAAAATATTTACACTACTCAACAGTTTATACATATGCTTTCTAGTTAAACTCATGCAATGCATGCAAACTGTCAACTACAGTAGAGGTCATATAGCGTCTGATTCTATGGGTATCAGCACGTTCTTCAGTGGCATTATTACACAGCAGCTAATCCGAAATCATACTGTGCATCTACTGGTGGGCCCTGTAAAGATCAGAAATAGATCAGTTAATTAGATATTCCAGTTTTTAAAAAAATATATAATTGTTCATTTAAGAAATTGCCAATAGGTCAAGCAGACGGCAAAAATGGTTACACTCACATCTTTTCAAGAGCCCTCTTGATTAAATTCTGGGTGAATTTAGATTCTGGATTCATGCATTTCCGCTCTGCGCTTTTAAGAGTGACACTGGAAATAAAAAAGGAAAGATGAGCTGAAGGTGTTCAAGAGTGTTAAGATAGCAGCATGATCATTTAATGTGTAAATATCTGTATAAAACCATGGTTTTTGTCCTTACATAATCTCCTGTTTTCCACAAGACGGACTTGGAGGGATGATTTCAAACTTCTCAATGTTCTTCAGTAAAACCACATCCACTCCTTTGTCAGCACAGAAGCACCTGCCTTTGTGAAACTTGTTCTGCCCTGGAAGAAAGATGACCCTTTATTAGCTGCAGAACAGCATGGTAATACACTAATATATATAAGAGATACAGTATAATATATATTAAATTATAGGTCTTAATAGGCAACACTCACCTTGTACTTCTGTTGCAAGCAGACAGGCAAGAAAAACAAAAACTGTGGCAGTCTTCATTATTTTTAAAGTGTTGATGATTGTCTAAGACTGTTAATACCAGAGATGTTCAGCTACAGTGCTTATATAGCCGTCAGAAGATCAGGGATTTACAGCATGGTCACAGTTCCCAGTTTCAATTTCACAAGCACAACAGTTTTGATTTCCCATTTCTTTGAAATGCTTTGACTTTGCCTCGTGTTGTTTAGTGTAATGATTATGCTCACCAGTGAAGAAGAATTGTAATTAGTTTTACTGCAATTTTGGAAGTTGGTGTAAATTCTTTCAAACACTCAAGATAAATGCCCAAGATAAATGTACACTCTTAAAAATAAAGGTGCTTCAAAAGGTTCTTCAACTGATTTAAAAACGTTATGACCAGTCTTAAATAAAAAAATTGTATGACTACATAACTCCGTGTATTTAAGACATTGTGTGATGTTAAAAGAAGTTGATCTTTTAAAAACAGTTTTGCTTTTTTTTCCATTTCACTGTGATTCATCATGTGTTTTAAAAGTGCGTTCTGTGTGAACGACCCTGTAGGTCCTGAATTTGGATTGTCTTCTGTGAGTGGCAGGTCATTTTGCGGTTTCCCCGTGACTGGTGAATGTGCTCCCACAGACTCAAGTGAAAACTTATTGTCCCCTTACTAACTATGGCATTGATTGTACCATTGTGACATGATAAATTTGATATTTCTGTGTTCACCCTTGCTTTTGTGGTCTTGAGATATTTTCCTTTACATCAATATATGGACTTTTCAGTTTCCCTTGTTGTTTTGTATTGTGTTTTGTTGCGTTAACTTTGGTTTTAGGGTGATGTTATATAAATATGACTTTTTATCATACTTATATTCTTACCATTTTTCTAAATAAAGCTAAATTCAAGATTATTTCAGCTATGTGTAAATCACTTTGAAGTAACCAAGTATTTCCAGGTGTTACATAATATGAAGGGAAAAAAGGAATTGGCTGCTGCTGACCAGACAATGGCTTTGTGTCTCCATGAGTTCTTTCCTGATCTCCTGTTTACTTTTCGCACACACTGAGGCATGTAACATAACTAATATTTCTTCAGGAACCCATAACAATGACCATCAACGCAAAAAATTATGAAACCTTTACAAGATTTTATTTGATACTTTCCACTGACATTAAACAACAGATACAAACAGAAGAACATACAACACATTTAAAAATAAATAAATAAATAATTAAACTACTCATAATGTGTAAATGTAATATATAAAATACTGTATTGTAATACATGAAAGTATCAATAAAGCTTTTTAATGACAGGGTCCACAGTGGCCACAACTCTTGAAATCACAGTTGAACCACTTCACACATGTTACTGAGCACTCCTAAAAAAAAAAACATAAATAAAAATGACTCCATTATTCTTTCTTCATTTTTAACATATGAATGAAGCTCAAGTCTTCATTTGTAATGTCATTGATAAGACTCACCTGGTCTTTTTTGCAATCCTCTCAATGATATTCTTGGTAAACAATGACTCTGGGTTTAAGCATCTTCGTCCTACACCATTCTTCAGCGTTACACTGTTCAGACACATCATCAGGTTATTTAAAGAGAATATAGATTGATAATGTCTTAAATTCAGTTCTTAATAATCATGTACTTACACGACTTCCAAACGTCCACAGGTTGGACTTATAGGGTGAATTTCAACTTTGTCTATCAGCTTTGGCTTCACCATTTTGAGACCAGCACCACGACATAAACATCTTTGGATTCCAATCCCGGGCTTCCCTGGAGGATGATAGAAATAAATGATGAAAATGATTACTCTGAAACAACAAAGCTACAGATTGTGCTGAGTTAGTGAAATATATATATAAAAAAAGCAAAACAATACCTTCAGTAGCAACAATGGCCAAACTGACAAAAACAAGCAGAGTGGCCACAGTCTTCATTTTTCAGTCTCTTGATGCTTTTCAGCTTAAGCCACTTGACTGACCAAATGTGAGTATATGAGCTGACTGGCATCTTTTTATACACATCGCAGAGACATTCTGGGATTTCCCTGTTTGATGCTCTAGTGGTAGATAAGATCTGGCTGAGTTCCAGTTACTCTTTCTATATCTTACCCAGTTTCTGGGAAATAAACAGAAACAATAGTGAAGTGTTCATCATATTATTTGGGTTTTAAGTTCTGTGTCATGAGGTTTGTGTCACACATACAGGTATACAATATTACATTTATGTCATATCAGATAGAAATGTAAAATTATATAAGAGAATAATATATAAGTAAAATAATATGAGAAATATAATAATTGTAATAAGAAACAAAGTGGCTTTTGATAAGCTCAGATTGTGTATTATTGCCTTTATAAATACTATATACATATATATATATATAATCACTTATTTCTTGTTTTGTTCATTAGTTATTGTTGATGTTCAGCGCTAACGTTGTGAGTGTTTGCCTTCTGTGAAATATATCCTGCTTGGATTATCATTTTGTTTTGTTTATTAAAGTAGTGCTGCTATTTTGTCCTCTTTGCCTCTTCTTTTTGCCCGGCCTAAAATAAGTTAAATATGGATCTAGTAGATGTCAGACTTCTGCTCATCACACAGATGATCAGTCCCCCGAGGACCAGCCCAGGGTGTTCTCACTCCCAACCCGTCATATATTGACACTTGGTCAGGATCCCTCACTATTTAACGCTTTGACATTATTTTTCAACGTACAGGGTACTTAATTGATTTCAGTTGTTTGCCTTATGTGTCAGATCATGACGCATTATTCTTTGGATATGTAAAAGTATAAATTTTATTTAACAAATAAATAAGTATAAAAAATGTAAAGTGTGTAAATATTCATACTTCCATAGATATTGGAGCACCTAACCCCACTTATACCCTAAACCTACCCACAAAATCACAGGAATATATTGCATAAATATTTATCTACAGGTATTTAATAATACTCCAATATGTAATGTCATCATGGTGATATTCCCATGCCCATCACGTTTGTGTTTGATGCCAGAGGTTCCTGACCAAGTGGCAGAATATGACGAGTTGGTAGTGAGAATGTGTTGACCACAAACCCTCTCTGGATAACTGCCTCTGCTAAGCTATCTGGGGATGGTCCTCAAGGGAATGTTTGTGAGTATGTGGACTAGGTGTTGCTGCAGTATGGGTCCCCCTTCACAATGGATGAAAGAGACTTTATAACAAACCTGGAATCTACGCCCATGCAGGCCACTGACCCAGAGCCCATCCAGCCCCTCACCACACCTGAACCTGAACCCACCGCAGACAGATTGCCAGAGCCACTGCCTGCCTTGGAGACAGAACTCCATCTTTTCATTGTACCTCTCCCTTCTCTTCCAGTTTCTGGTCCATCTCTGGTTCTTTGCACACCTCTGAAAGCACCCCTCCCCCCCTCCCCTCACATATGACACGTATGGATGTGCCATCCTGGAGGAACTTGACTACCTGTGCAACCTGATTGGTTTGCAGGTAGCATCTGATATAAACGTGTGCCATCGGTTTGGTTTCAACTGCCTTTCTCTAAGTCTAAAATTACATACTGTGTTACACGACAGTTACAGTGGCCTTCTGTGCTTTCACTTTCTGATAACTGTGGTCTTTTCTCATAAATGCACACATCGTGTGAACAGCAGGATACGAATTTCTAAGAAGGATAAGGATAAGAAGGTCTTTTCCGCAGAAGCTGAATATTCTGCCGGAAAAGTTCAGCTGTTGAATGTACTACTCAGCAAAGGCAATTCACATTCAATTTCTTCATTGAATGAGTATGAGCATGACACAAACTGTATTTTTGTAATGAATTTTTCAATTAATTGAAATCTTTATCAGTAGATAGCAATAGACTATAGACTGTGAAATGAGAGGACTTTAAATTGTAAAACAAAAAATGTTTTGTTATAGTAGTTTTTGGGAGACTGAACAGACAAGGTCCGTTGTGATTTATCCTTGTGTAATCAAAACATTTATTGCTTCATACTAATATTCTTCAGTAAACAAAACACCAAATTAGCATGTAGGCTATTATTTTTATTTCATGGCTACATCACACACAGATTTCCTCTGGATTACAAACGTTTGTATAAAAATTATTTAGTAAAAGTTAAAAAGTGTGTTTAGCTCAAAACGATAGTGTTAGTTATAGTTTCATCATAGAAATCACAAAGAATCACAAAGAATACATTTATGGCTAAATGGCTTTGAAATCTTGTGCATTATAACAGATAGAGTAACTTCAATAATCATCCTTGTTGTCAGACTTCTTAATCTTCTCTTTTCTTCCTCTGTTCTTTTGGTTTTTGTTTCCCCTCCTATAGGAATGGCACAGAATTTAAGTCTCACAATATAATACATAAACATATACATTATAATAGGTTGTTACATTCAGTAATTAGTAGTGTAACAGTGGTGTATATCTCACCATTTGCCCTTCAGTAATCTCTGTCCTTGCCTCTTATTTGGATCCAAACACACCTTTAACTTTCTGTTAACCTCCTTTCCTTTACCCTTTCCTTTTCCAGTCACAGTCAATCTAAGGTCAGAAGGGGGGTGGGGGGTGGGGGGTTGGTTTGTGGTCAGAAACAAATGCAATCGTTTGTTAATTACAATGTTCATGAACTACATTGCAAAAATGAATCTCTAGAAGAAATAAAGATGTATAAATATTTTCATGTAACAGTACTCGTATACATACTTACATAATCTCCGTCTTTGAGCAAGAGGGACTTGGTGGGAGCAATTCAACTGCACGAATCCATCTGGGCTTCACTGCTTTCAGCAGTCTGCCTCTGCATAAACAGCGTTGTGATAGCCCCCCTGCTTGCCCTAAACACAATTATGTTAAGTTTAAGGACTAATGTACATAGCAGATCCAGAGCAGGAAAACTATTTAGTTGCAGAAACTTAGCCTCTGTGTTAAGACGGTGTTTTAAGAACTAGTTTGACCAACTAGCAATTAGCCAAGCGGTAATCAGTCTTGTTTTTTGGATTCAGTGTAGACTAATCCACGCTTTTATGTAACAGAATGAAATACATATGACCAGTCTTAAAGAAAAAAAATTGATGACTAACTTGTAAGACTAGTCTAAACCTTTTTATGCAACCAGCCCCCAATTTAAAAAAATATATTTTCTTGAAACAGCAAAAATATTAAACTGAAGACTTATAACTGAAAGCTTTGTTTCCTCTGGTTACGTATCTGTTTAATACACTGTATATCTAACACAACTGCAGCAAGAAGTATGTGCTTTTCATACATCCAGAGATATTACACACTGTATGTGATGTCTAATTAATAATAACAAGGTCCAGTGTTTGGACAAGAGGAATGATCAATCAGTAATAGAATAGATATACTGTATGTACTCATAATCATGAAGTAAAATGTATGCTTTTACTCAATTTTCTATATTCATTGAATTTCTGAAAGGAAATTGATACAATATAAAAATGTGAGATTTGAGAAGGTTGAAGATTTCCTACATCTCAAAAGAAGGTCACAGTCATAAGATGTCATGCTGATTTCTTTGTGGCCTCTTTGTTTTCATTTCTGTTCCTTATTTCCTGGTGAATATAAGGGGAAATTTAGCTCATACACTGTGCCAAGGTTATTGGGGGGGAGTGGATGGTTAAATAACTGAACTCTCACTTGTGAGTGATGAAATGGGCAGAGCTGTTTTGAAATAACTCTAGAAATGACCTGGCTTAGAAGTGCGAAATGTATATAACTTTATTTACAGTACACTTCCCATTAGGGTGCTGCAAATAATGAATGAGTGTAATCAAGAGTGTAATCAAGATTGTTTAACAAAACCAAAAGGGTAAATCTGATACGTGTATGCACAAGCAGACAGTCATTGAGTAAACTAAGCAAACAAGCCAACAAACGTAACCCACAGGAATCAAAGAAAATGGAACAAAGCATATGAGCAAAGGACCATAACAGAAAAACTAGGAACACAGGAAAAAATACAATTCAGCATAAGAAGGGAATTGCAGCTGTATAGATAATCACAAGATTTACTACGTCATATGACACACAATTATGCAAAATCTGAAGTCCTCTGGTAGGGTAGAGTGAGTGTATGCTGAAGGAATAACTGCAGTCCGGCAATCCCCCCGAAAATAAATATCTACAAGACATCACATACAAGACATGTTACGCAACACTTCTTTAAGCAATGGCCACCTGCATTATCCAAAGATTACAGAGAAAAACAAAACCCAAATATTAAATTTTTCTCTTGAAAAATTCAGGTGGCCAATGCTTAAAGAAGATGTAAGAACTGGCCACCTGCATTATCCAAAGGTCATGGAGAATCCCCCCCACCCCCACCCAAAAAAAAATTAACAAAGGGGAGAGTCAAAATATAATATAATATATATTTTTATTTTTTTCTGTACATGGGCACCTACAACCAAATAAATTCATTGTACATCTATATTAACACATGACAAATAAAGCCATGTTCTACCAGTGGAAAAGTTCTAGGGGTAGCAAAAAATTAAGAATTAGGAGTTATTGAAGGCTTAACATTTAGCCTTAAAATGTAAAAGGCGTACGGCGTAAAAGGACATTTAACCAAAATGCTGCTGATTGCGCTCTCTAGTGGTGCATCTACATATTTGTAAAAATGAGGCAGTGGTTCTTAATCCTGGTCCTGGGGACCCCCCATTCTGCACAATTTGTATGTATCTGTATGCAAAATGTGCAGAGTGGGGGTCCCCAGGACCAGGATGAACCACTGAACTAAGGTCTATTTATTTCCACGTTTATGGGAAATTAGCACATAATTTAAGATATTGTAGGAATGACACTGTGTTGATAAGGTTTGTGTATTTTAGTAAAAAAAAAACAACAAGACAAAAATGACGAAATTCACTTGTGGTGCATATATGTCCACTGTTTACTAGACAGTTAAACAAAGTGAGAAAGTGAAAAGTGCATTTAAGAGATTCTTTCTGAGAAATAAAAGAGTATGGCTCACAAGTATATCCTCCTGAGAACCAGAAATAAAAAGCTTTGTGAATTTAGTATTTTTTCATGTCATTACATTGTTTAGAGCCCCACATGCAGGACAGCGATGGACATACGGCCAACAGTCCAGAGGAGTCGCTTTCCCCTGCCTCGGTGATTTACTTTAAGGAGGCGCTAACTTATAACTCAAGTATACAGTTTACAAAGACGAGCTCTTCTCTTCCTGTCCCAGTGCGATATGAATTCCAGATTGAGAAGACTAACAAGAAAACGAGAAGTGAGTATATGTTATGATCGTCTGCATATGGGTTTGTTTGATAAGATCTGATAGTGTTTGGTTCACTTGAACATGCTGCATTATTTGACGCAAGCCTTATGTTTCAATGTCAACAACATTGCACAATGACAGCCACTGCGGCGTTTATGCAAGTTTGCAGTAGCTCTGTCTTTCTTAGATTGGTGTTTTTTTCTTGAAATTATGACTTCTAATTCATCAGTAAATAAATAGCCCACAGCTAGCACAAATTGTCATCAGCTCGCATGTAAACAAGATTACACCTACTGTATGGATGTAGATATCCACAACCTTTATGTCCACAAATCAGAAATTATTCGTGATATTCGTAGTTATTCCTGCAATTACTTAGCAGTATTATGGTAATATCTGTAATGACATATCTGGCTAAGAACTGCATCACTGAAGGATGTAACATTACTCTCATGTGAACATTTATTTGATATTTTCATTTATCTGCATAGTTTTAGAGATACACTACCGTACAAAAGTTTGGGGTCGGTAAGATTATTTTTTTTGTGTTTTTGAAAGAAGTCTTCTGTACTTACATTCTTCATTGATATGATCAAAAATACAGTGAAACAATAATTTTGTGAAATATTACAATTTAAAATAACTGTTTTCTCTTTTAGTGCATTTTAAAATATAATTTATTGCTGTGATGGCAAAGCTGATTTTTTTTTAGCAGCCATTACTCCAGTCTTCAGTGCCACTTCATCTTTTAGAAATCATTTTAATATGCATATTTTATGCTTTTCTTATTATTATTAATGGTGAAAACATTGTTGTGCTGCTTAATGTTTTTGTACACTTTTTTTCAGGATTATATAAAAAAAGAGAGAACGGCGTTTATTTGAAATATGAATCTTTTATAACACAATAAATGTCACTTTCAATTCAGTGCATCTTTGCTGAATTCCTTCTTACTGACCCAAACCTTTGTCCGTACCCAATGCAGTTTCATAAAATGTGTTTCTAATTGATTGTTTTCATGCATAAATGCTTTTCTTTTCTAAATAATTAATACAATTCGACTAATAGATTACTGCTAATATTCAAATGCCATTTTACATGACTTTGCACATGAGGTTCTTCTCTTTTGAAAGGTACTGGTTTAACAAAAGAAAGTCTACCTTGTTATTATTCAAATTGTTACAGTACCACCCCAGGATAGCTAGTGGTTGATATGTGTGACTGTTTTTATCAAATATCTGTATAACTTTTGCATCATGTTTATTAATTTGACACAAAGTGCATGCTTGCTCCTCTTAAACTTGTTGTCCAGTAAAAAGCAGCTTTATCAGCAATGCTCTAGTTCTCAATCAGTAGGGCTTCCGCCCTTTTCTTGTGCGGCATGTGGATCATTGACAACAGCACACCCCACCCCCACCTCCCCCCGCATCTGACAGGTCTCTCGGGAACTGTGCCCTCCCTCTCCTCCACCACCATCTGCTCACGTGATTCCCACAATCCTCCTCAGCATCACGGCAGCCATCTTGATCAACACCCTCCCATTTGCAGCGCATGCAGCCAATCCGGTGAATGCAAGCAGCTGGGCTGTGAGGGAGGGACTGAGAGAGAGAAAGAGACATCTCTGATTGTAGCTGCACTGAGGCTCGCACGGCATCTCAATCCCCTGGCTGTGCTGAGCCAGAGAGCACTGAAGCCTTTATTCACACGGAGGATTTTAGCTGTCGCTGCTCATTCACAAGGCCATTGAGCCCCAGAAGAATAGCATCCCTTCAGTCAGGTTTGCCCTGGACTGCTTGTTTATATTTCCCCTTCCTTCCTTCCTTCCTTCCTTTGTTTTCCTTGACTCTCTTTTCATTCTTCCTTTGTGCTGGAGAAGATTCTTGCTTGGACTGGATTTGAAAAAACAAAAAAAACAAATCGTCATTGTTCCTATTCACTGCTCCTGACTCTTCACTGAGGGCCGTCATCGTAAGTGTTGTTGTCGTCGCAGCAGCTATCAGCTGAGTCACCATGTCTGATCTGACGCCCCAGAGCGAGGCCCCCACCCCCACCACTGACAAGATCACACAGGCTGCCAGAGAGACCATCTACCTATGCAACTTCCGCGTGTCGGTGGATGGCGAATGGCTGTGCCTGCGCGAGCTCAATGACATCTCGCTAACGCCAGATCCCGAGCCGGCTCATGAAGGTAGGCGCGCACAGCATCACTAGGCCTCTGTGGCTGTTATCGCACTGGGCGGTGCTGGCCCAACCTTCCACCATCATGCTCTCAGCGTTCCCGCAGGCCTGCCTGGAAATGTAGTTTTTATGGAGCACAAGTGTGCATGAAGGTTTGCTTCCCACTGAATGATTTCAGAGAAGCTGTTCATGTGCTATTTTATTCTAATTAAAGTATTATCACATTGCACAAATTAGGCATGAGGACTGCACTGTTCGGAAAATCCCTCAGAACGAAAGTACCTCCAATAAACAAAAATAAAAATGAGCCTTTAACAAATTTTATATTGTTTGATATGGGTTTTTTTCTGTTGATTTTAATAAAAAATAAAAGGCATTTTGCAAATTTGTTTTAAAAGTACCTCCAATAAACAAAAATAAAAATGAGCCTTTAACAAATTTTATATTGTTTGATATGGGTTTTTTTTTGTTGATTTTAATAAAAAATAAAAGGCATTTTGCAAATTTGTTTTTCATTTATGAACTTTTCTAAAGGAAAAAATAAGGCAATAAATTGTTTTCTAGAATAGGGATGGTGTCAGAGCTCACAATTGTTCTGCTAATCCAGTGCATTACTGGAGAGTCACGGTTTACCTTGCCAAAGGTTAAAAGAGGACATCATATGAACACAGTACTGCTGACCTGGAGATGGGCCTGAGATTCCCACTCAATCAAATGTCTTGAAGGCATGTGATCAACGGGCAGTAGAGAAGATGTGACCAGGAGCCACTAACAGCAACAGTTCGATCTAATGTGTTTTATCTGCATTGGGCGAGCATGTGGCAAGACAAGGAATAGATAACCTTATCTGATAAGGTCTGCTTACAGAGTCGTCCTCTGAGATGATTATACACTACAGAAGTAGTTATTTTTTGGTTGTGCATTTTCACGAATTGCATCACCTTTGAACTGTGTGACTTGTTGGTCTCCTCACTATCACATTGTGATAAACAAATCACTTTTTTAGTGTCACCTCGGCACCCAGGGTTCAGAGCCAAAGGAAGTTAAGAGAGTACTATTTTCTCAGAGATCTCTCCAGTATATTTTTTTCATAGATGTTTTACAACAAATATTCTCTTCAATTAAACCACTGCATATAAGTCAGAAATTGGTTGGTTGCCACTTTGCCCTTGTTTTGTTTCACTGCATGCAACTGTTTATTTTAATGTATTTGGTGTGCTCTGCCTCATTAAGTGTCATTTATGGTTAGATTTTTTTTTCGTTTTTTCTTTTCCCCCCTCAGCCAAGCGACATACTGTAGAAAATCTTGAGACAGTTCATCTAAAAATTGAACAGTAGTGTACAGTATACACAGCAATTCTGTCATGATTTACTCACCCTCATGTCATTCCAAACCTGTGTGACTTTCTTCTGTGGAACATAAAAGAAGATATTTTATGGACGAAAACCTTTCTTTTATGTTCCACATAAGATAGAAAGTCATAGAGGGATGTTTGGAACAATGGCAGTTTTTAAATTGTTTTTAATTTGGTGTTCTATCACCTTTAACGAATCGTGGAACGAATCTAACAAAAAATATATTATTCCAGTGCTGTGGATGGAAAGAAAATATTACATTATTTCCCAAGGCTTTCTGTCAAACAAATCGGTTTAGAGAAGTTGCCACTGGAGTCTTGCAGGACAAGAAGAGCATTGTTTGAGCTCTAGTGTAGTCAAATTACTTCATAGTAACTGTCTTCTGATCTAGATTTGCTGACACGTTATAATAGTGGCTCTTAATGACCATCAACACTCAGTTTGCTATTAATAGTCTCGGTTGTAGTGCTTCTGTATGAAAGTGAGAGAGATTGAGCTTGGCTCTGTAGCTAAGAGTCTACACCCAAATTTCCTACAACATAATGTGTATTCCCTCTTGTTGTTGCTTTGGTTTATTCCCATGATGTGCATGACACAATCCTTTTCTGCTTTTTTTTTCTGTTTTCCATTGCCTTTTGCAAAGACTCATGGGAGGATTTCACAGATTTGGTGGAGCAAATGCGAATGCTTGATGAGTTTAAAGGTGCGTATGGTGGCGTCGCTCTCCCCAGTCCACCTCATCCTAAAACCACAGCAGGTGTGGCCATGTGGCCTTGTCTTTACAAACCAACCTCCTTGAATGGCACATTTGCACCACAGCTTCTATAGCGTCACCTCTTGTGCTCATGTTCTCTTTATTTGTCTCTTCTTCAGTGTCTGTTATCTACCTTCCTTATGGTTTGATGTTTCCATCAAAAGCTTTGTCTCTGTGACTTTTTTCACTAGCTCTCTAGCTAGCAAAATATCTGGCCACCCATTTTGCTGGATGCCTCTTGTCTGGCCTGTTTTCTTTGGCTGGCTCCCCGCCCCACCCCATTCTCTGGCTGATTTGGCATGTTGATCGCATGGTTTTATCAGCATTATCAGTGATCAATTTATGGCTCTTCAGATTAATTCCCTGTAGACCTTGTAAGAGACATGAAATATTTATGATTCAGAGACTATGTACACTAAAACACACACTAAAACAATCTCTGTGTTCTTACAGTGAAAGAATATGGTTTCTGTGATTTCAAATATTCTCTTCAATTAAACCACTGCATATAAGTCAGAAATTGGTTGGTTGCCACTTTGCCCTTGTTTTGTTTCACTGCATGCAACTGTTTATTGTAATGTATTTGGTGTGCTCTGCCTCATTAAGTGTCATTTATGGTTTGATTTCGTTTTAGTTTTTTCTTTTCCCCCCTCAGCCAAGCGACATACTGTAGAAAATCTTAAAGAGACAGTTCATCTAAAAATGAAAATTCTGTCATGATTTACTCACCCTCATGTCATTCCAAACCTGTGTGACTTTCTTCTGTGGAACATAAAAGAAGATATTTTATGGACGAAAACCTTTCTTTTATGTTCCACATAAGATAGAAAGTCATAGAGGGATGTTTGGAACAATGGCAGTTTTTAAATTGTTTTTAATTTGGTGTTCTATCACCTTTAAAGCTGTCGTGGAACGAATCGAACAAAAAATATATTATTCCAGTGCTGTGGATGGAAAGAAAATATTACATTATTTCCCAAGGCTTTCTGTCAAACAAATCGGTTTAGAGAAGTTGCCACTGGAGTCTTGCAGGACAAGAAGAGCATTGTTTGAGCTCCTTTGTCTAGTGTAGTCAAATTACTTCATAGTAACTGTCTTCTGATCCAGATTTGCTGACACGTTATAATAGTGGCTCTTAATGACCATCAACACTCAGTTTGCTATTAATAGTCTCGGTTGTAGTGCTTCTGTATGAAAGTGAGAGAGATTGAGCTTGGCTCTGTAGCTAAGAGTCTACACCCAAATTTCCTACAACATAATGTGTATTCCCTCTTGTTGTTGCTTTGGTTTATTCCCATGATGTGCATGACACAATCCTTTTCTGCTTTTTTTTCTGTTTTCCATTGCCTTTTGCAAAGACTCATGGGAGGATTTCACAGATTTGGTGGAGCAAATGCGAATGCTTGATGAGTTTAAAGGTGCGTATGGTGGCGTCGCTCTCCCCAGTCCACCTCATCCTAAAACCACAGCAGGTGTGGCCATGTGGCCTTGTCTTTACAAACCAACCTCCTTGAATGGCACATTTGCACCACAGCTTCTATAGCGTCACCTCTTGTGCTCATGTTCTCTTTATTTGTCTCTTCTTCAGTGTCTGTTATCTACCTTCCTTATGGTTTGATGTTTCCATCAAAAGCTTTGTCTCTGTGACTTTTTTCACTAGCTCTCTAGCTAGCAAAATATCTGGCCACCCATTTTGCTGGATGCCTCTTGTCTGGCCTGTTTTCTTTGGCTGGCTCCCCGCCCCACCCCATTCTCTGGCTGATTTGGCATGTTGATCGCATGGTTTTATCAGCATTATCAGTGATCAATTTATGGCTCTTCAGATTAATTCCCTGTAGACCTTGTAAGAGACATGAAATATTTATGATTCAGAGACTATGTACACTAAAACACACACTAAAACAATCTCTGTGTTCTTACAGTGAAAGAATATGGTTTCTGTGATTTGTATAACCTTTGCATAGACATGAAGCTATGGCTTGACTCAGTCTTTGCTGTGTGACTGTGTGAAGCTACAAGGAGGTCTTTAATACATGGTATAAACTGAAACGCTAGTAAAAATTTGTTGGTTTTACTGTTCATTTTTGTTGTTGCGTTAGCAGTTCAATATTATTGAATGAGTAATGGCCATTTAAAATAAATTTGGGCTGAGATGACAAGACTTAAACTGACAGACTGTTCCGTTTTATCATTTTTCATTTAAAGAGTTAATGTGCTGTGAAAATGACCCACTGCCTCCTGGATCATTTCTCCTGTCTCAACACCTAAAAGCAATGAGACATTTTTTTGCAATTTAAGTGCACTGAGATGAGAAAATTAACTAAATGCCAAATGAGCCCATCTTGGCCCATTTGTAAAATCAACCGAAGTGATTTTAAAGAAAAATATATTTCTAATATTTATGTAAAATTGTATACTGTATAGCAGCTTTTTTCTTGCCAGTCCTTGCATGTCCTCATGAAAAAGGTCACTGCTATTCGTGAACCGACGTGAATTGAGAGTCTTAATGATGAAATGATTGCATTACTGTGGGTGTGTTTTGGTTTAGACAGGGTGAGGCTTGAGAACTCCAATTCGAAATTCTGTTCAGTAAAAATTGATTTACTGTAGTTTATCTACTTTGTGATGCATTGTAAAGTTGGATTGAGATTATCCTGAAAACAACAGCCTTCAAAACAATCATCTGTTCAGTTAAAAAACAGACTTATTATTTATTCATGATTGGGCATGATTGAGATGGTGGGATGAAATCTGTCTGCATTTGATGCATTACACATCGCATCAACCAGAATTTCATAAATCTTTGCCTGACATGGAGGAAAACACGTAGCCGCAGAACAGTGGAAAGTTCTCATAAAGTCTTTTTCTCAGAAAATCTCCAGTCCAAACCCTCATATATTGCTTATGTCTCATGCTGAAACCTGTTAAATCAGGGGTGTCAAACACAGTTCCTGGATGGCTGCAGCCCTGCAGAGTTTAGTTCCAACACACAAACCATGTAGTTTTCAATTGAGCCTGAAGGACTTGATTAGCTGGATCAGGTGTGTTTAATTAGGGTTGGAGCTAAACTGCATTCCATTCGGAAGGGCTCATCCCTATGCCCTAATCTCTTCAAAGGGTTTACCCTCCGGAGTGAGAGCTTCGAAGGGTTGAAGGGTGTAGGGGACCAAACAACTGTTACTTGAAGTGCCCTTCTTGCGTCATCATCACGTGCCCACACGGAGGCGCCGTCATCATGCAAAGAATCTGAGCAAATGCTCATGGGAGCCCGAAGTGTCCATCAGTTGTACCCTTCGAAATCCTTCATTCCAAAGGGCCTTTTGAAGTGGCCAGATTTGAGCACCTCGGTTTGGAACGACCCTTCAATATGGGGGCCATGATTGTTTTCACTCCGATGTGCCCTTTGGAGGGCGATATATCCCATTTGGAACGCACCGTCTGCAGGGCTGTGGCCCTCCAGGAATTGAGTTTGACACCCATGTTAAATACTGTGTGTAGGAGAAGTCACAGTGGGAGAATTGAATCATATTTTACCGCAATGTTTTAATTCATGCTTGAATTTTTTGATTTCCAGATCCCAAGGACCCCATTGCCATCGAGAGGAGGGATGTTTGGAACAATGGCAGTTTTTAAATTGTTTTTAATTTGGTGTTCTATCACCTTTAACGAATCGTGGAACGAATCTAACAAAAAATATATTATTCCAGTGCTGTGGATGGAAAGAAAATATTACATTATTTCCCAAGGCTTTCTGTCAAACAAATCGGTTTAGAGAAGTTGCCACTGGAGTCTTGCAGGACAAGAAGAGCATTGTTTGAGCTCTAGTGTAGTCAAATTACTTCATAGTAACTGTCTTCTGATCTAGATTTGCTGACACGTTATAATAGTGGCTCTTAATGACCATCAACACTCAGTTTGCTATTAATAGTCTCGGTTGTAGTGCTTCTGTATGAAAGTGAGAGAGATTGAGCTTGGCTCTGTAGCTAAGAGTCTACACCCAAATTTCCTACAACATAATGTGTATTCCCTCTTGTTGTTGCTTTGGTTTATTCCCATGATGTGCATGACACAATCCTTTTCTGCTTTTTTTTCTGTTTTCCATTGCCTTTTGCAAAGACTCATGGGAGGATTTCACAGATTTGGTGGAGCAAATGCGAATGCTTGATGAGTTTAAAGGTGCGTATGGTGGCGTCGCTCTCCCCAGTCCACCTCATCCTAAAACCACAGCAGGTGTGGCCATGTGGCCTTGTCTTTACAAACCAACCTCCCTGAATGGCACATTTGCACCACAGCTTCTATAGCTTCACCTCTTGTGCTCATGTTCTCTTTATTTGTCTCTTCTTCAGTGTCTGTTATCTACCTTCCTTATGGTTTGATGTTTCCATCAAAAGCTTTGTCTCTGTGACTTTTTTCACTAGCTCTCTAGCTAGCAAAATATCTGGCCACCCATTTTGCTGGATGCCTCTTGTCTGGCCTGTTTTCTTTGGCTGGCTCCCCGCCCCACCCCATTCTCTGGCTGATTTGGCATGTTGATCGCATGATTTTATCAGCATTATCAGTGATCAATTTATGGCTCTTCAGATTAATTCCCTGTAGACCTTGTAAGAGACATGAAATATTTATGATTCAGAGACTATGTACACTAAAACACACACTAAAACAATCTCTGTGTTCTTACAGTGAAAGAATATGGTTTCTGTGATTTGTATAACCTTTGCATAGACATGAAGCTATGGCTTGACTCAGTCTTTGCTGTGTGACTGTGTGAAGCTACAAGGAGGTCTTTAATACATGGTATAAACTGAAACGCTAGTAAAAATTTGTTGGTTTTACTGTTCATTTTTGTTGTTGCGTTAGCAGTTCAATATTATTGAATGAGTAATGGCCATTTAAAATAAATTTGGGCTGAGATGACAAGACTTAAACTGACAGACTGTTCCGTTTTATCATTTTTCATTTAAAGAGTTAATGTGCTGTGAAAATGACCCACTGCCTCCTGGATCATTTCTCCTGTCTCAACACCTAAAAGCAATGAGACATTTTTTTGCAATTTAAGTGCACTGAGATGAGAAAATTAACTAAATGCCAAATGAGCCCATCTTGGCCCATTTGTAAAATCAACCGAAGTGATTTTAAAGAAAAATATATTTCTAATATTTATGTAAAATTGTATACTGTATAGCAGCTTTTTTCTTGCCAGTCCTTGCATGTCCTCATGAAAAAGGTCACTGCTATTCGTGAACAGACATGGATTGAGAGTCTTGATGATGAAATGATTGCATTACTGTGGGTGTGTTTTGGTTTAGACAGGGTGAGGCTTGAGAACTCCAATTCGAAATTCTGTTCAGTAAAAATTGATTTACTGTAGTTTATCTACTTTGTGATGCATTGTAAAGTTGGATTGAGATTATCCTGAAAACAACAGCCTTCAAAACAATCATCTGTTCAGTTAAAAAACAGACTTATTATTTATTCATGATTGGGCATGATTGAGATGGTGGGATGAAATCTGTCTGCATTTGATGCATTACACATCGCATCAACCAGAATTTCATAAATCTTTGCCTGACATGGAGGAAAACACGTAGCCGCAGAACAGTGGAAAGTTCTCATAAAGTCTTTTTCTCAGAAAATCTCCAGTCCAAACCCTCATATATTGCTTATGTCTCATGCTGAAACCTGTTAAATCAGGGGTGTCAAACACAGTTCCTGGATGGCTGCAGCCCTGCAGAGTTTAGTTCCAACACACAAACCATGTAGTTTTCAATTGAGCCTGAAGGACTTGATTAGCTGGATCAGGTGTGTTTAATTAGGGTTGGAGCTAAACTGCATTCCATTCGGAAGGGCTCATCCCTATGCCCTAATCTCTTCAAAGGGTTTACCCTCCGGAGTGAGAGCTTCGAAGGGTTGAAGGGTGTAGGGGACCAAACAACTGTTACTTGAAGTGCCCTTCTTGCGTCATCATCACGTGCCCACACGGAGGCGCCGTCATCATGCAAAGAATCTGAGCAAATGCTCATGGGAGCCCGAAGTGTCCATCAGTTGTACCCTTCGAAATCCTTCATTCCAAAGGGCCTTTTGAAGTGGCCAGATTTGAGCACCTCGGTTTGGAACGACCCTTCAATATGGGGGCCATGATTGTTTTCACTCCGATGTGCCCTTTGGAGGGCGATATATCCCATTTGGAACGCACCGTCTGCAGGGCTGTGGCCCTCCAGGAATTGAGTTTGACACCCATGTTAAATACTGTGTGTAGGAGAAGTCACAGTGGGAGAATTGAATCATATTTTACCGCAATGTTTTAATTCATGCTTGAATTTTTTGATTTCCAGATCCCAAGGACCCCATTGCCATCGAGAGGCTTAACCTGATGAATATGGCCAAGCTGAGCATTAAGGGCTTGATTGAGTCTGCATTGAACCTGGGCCGCACACTGGACTCAGACTATGCCCCACTGCAGCAGTTTTTTGTCGTCATGGAGCACTGTCTGAAACATGGGCTTAAAAGTAAGTGCAACAAATCCCAACCCAAATTCCACTGTCCTCAGAGTAATCATTCATTTGTGTCGTTTACGCAATAATCATGTAATCATCTGCTCGTTTATTTGGATAATTACTGTTTGCACAGTACTTTTGGTATGCTGTGTATACTCAGTCTGTTTTCAGTTGTTGTTTTTTTTCTAAAGATATCCTTTTTTTTTAAGGTAAGAAGACGTTCCTTGGTCAAAATAAGTCTTTTTGGGGTCCTTTGGAGCTTGTGGAAAAGTTGACTCCAGAGGCTGGTGAGATCACAGCCAGCGTCAAAGACCTTCCTGGGCTCAAGTAAGAAAACATTTTCAACTTGAACATGTTGTTGTTGTTTTTTAAATGCATACTGCGTTTCTGATTCTAAAGTTGTTCTTTTATACCAGAACCCCTTTAGGAAGAGGCAGAGCATGGCTTCGTCTGGCTTTAATGCAGAAGAAGCTCTCAGACTACATGAAGACCATCATCAACCGAAAAGACCTTCTCGGGTACAGTTCCAGCTTTTGGTCTTTAATATAAAAGCCATAACTGTGGTTTTATGACCCAGTTTGGTAAATGTCTTATATTTGCTGTTGTTGTGTTCCTCAGTGAATTCTATGAGCCCAATGCTCTTATGATGGAGGAGGAGGGAGCCGTGATCGCTGGGCTGTTGGTGGGCCTGAATGTCATTGATGCTAACTTGTGCATGAAGGGAGAAGATTTAGACTCACAGGTATTTGTTAATTAGTTTAACTGTACACAAGTAATGAAGGACAAGATATGATGGAACAAAGCATTATCTTTGTTACATTTTTCTTTATTTTTGAGTGTGTGTGTTGGCCAACAGGTGATACAGGGCAATAAGATCTCCTCTACTCTCTCAATAGGTTGGAGTCATAGATTTTTCCATTCTCTGGCTGATTTGGCATGTTGATCGCATGGTTTTATCAGCATTATCAGTGATCAATTTATGGCTCTTCAGATTAATTCCCTGTAGACCTTGTAAGAGACATGAAATATTTATGATTCAGAGACTATATACACTAAAACACACACTAAAACAATCTCTGTGTTCTTACAGTGAAAGAATATGGTTTCTGTGATTTGTATAACCTTTGCATAGACATGAAGCTATGGCTTGACTCAGTCTTTGCTGTGTGACTGTGTGAAGCTACAAGGAGGTCTTTAATACATGGTATAAACTGAAACGCTAGTAAAAATTTGTTGGTTTTACTGTTCATTTTTGTTGTTGCGTTAGCAGTTCAATATTATTGAATGAGTAATGGCCATTTAAAATAAATTTGGGCTGAGATGACAAGACTTAAACTGACAGACTGTTCCGTTTTATCATTTTTCATTTAAAGAGTTAATGTGCTGTGAAAATGACCCACTGCCTCCTGGATCATTTCTCCTGTCTCAACACCTAAAAGCAATGAGACATTTTTTTGCAATTTAAGTGCACTGAGATGAGAAAATTAACTAAATGCCAAATGAGCCCATCTTGGCCCATTTGTAAAATCAACCGAAGTGATTTTAAAGAAAAATATATTTCTAATATTTATGTAAAATTGTATACTGTATAGCAGCTTTTTTCTTGCCAGTCCTTGCATGTCCTCATGAAAAAGGTCACTGCTATTCGTGAACAGACATGGATTGAGAGTCTTGATGATGAAATGATTGCATTACTGTGGGTGTGTTTTGGTTTAGACAGGGTGAGGCTTGAGAACTCCAATTCGAAATTCTGTTCAGTAAAAATTGATTTACTGTAGTTTATCTACTTTGTGATGCATTGTAAAGTTGGATTGAGATTATCCTGAAAACAACAGCCTTCAAAACAATCATCTGTTCAGTTAAAAAACAGACTTATTATTTATTCATGATTGGGCATGATTGAGATGGTGGGATGAAATCTGTCTGCATTTGATGCATTACACATCGCATCAACCAGAATTTCATAAATCTTTGCCTGACATGGAGGAAAACACGTAGCCGCAGAACAGTGGAAAGTTCTCATAAAGTCTTTTTCTCAGAAAATCTCCAGTCCAAACCCTCATATATTGCTTATGTCTCATGCTGAAACCTGTTAAATCAGGGGTGTCAAACACAGTTCCTGGATGGCTGCAGCCCTGCAGAGTTTAGTTCCAACACACAAACCATGTAGTTTTCAATTGAGCCTGAAGGACTTGATTAGCTGGATCAGGTGTGTTTAATTAGGGTTGGAGCTAAACTGCGTTCCATTCGGAAGGGCTCATCCCTATGCCCTAATCTCTTCAAAGGGTTTACCCTCCGGAGTGAGAGCTTCGAAGGGTTGAAGGGTGTAGGGGACCAAACAACTGTTACTTGAAGTGCCCTTCTTGCGTCATCATCACGTGCCCACACGGAGGCGCCGTCATCATGCAAAGAATCTGAGCAAATGCTCATGGGAGCCCGAAGTGTCCATCAGTTGTACCCTTCGAAATCCTTCATTCCAAAGGGCCTTTTGAAGTGGCCAGATTTGAGCACCTCGGTTTGGAACGACCCTTCAATATGGGGGCCATGATTGTTTTCACTCCGATGTGCCCTTTGGAGGGCGATATATCCCATTTGGAACGCACCGTCTGCAGGGCTGTGGCCCTCCAGGAATTGAGTTTGACACCCATGTTAAATACTGTGTGTAGGAGAAGTCACAGTGGGAGAATTGAATCATATTTTACCGCAATGTTTTAATTCATGCTTGAATTTTTTGATTTCCAGATCCCAAGGACCCCATTGCCATCGAGAGGCTTAACCTGATGAATATGGCCAAGCTGAGCATTAAGGGCTTGATTGAGTCTGCATTGAACCTGGGCCGCACACTGGACTCAGACTATGCCCCACTGCAGCAGTTTTTTGTCGTCATGGAGCACTGTCTGAAACATGGGCTTAAAAGTAAGTGCAACAAATCCCAACCCAAATTCCACTGTCCTCAGAGTAATCATTCATTTGTGTCGTTTACGCAATAATCATGTAATCATCTGCTCGTTTATTTGGATAATTACTGTTTGCACAGTACTTTTGGTATGCTGTGTATACTCAGTCTGTTTTCAGTTGTTGTTTTTTTTCTAAAGATATCCTTTTTTTTTAAGGTAAGAAGACGTTCCTTGGTCAAAATAAGTCTTTTTGGGGTCCTTTGGAGCTTGTGGAAAAGTTGACTCCAGAGGCTGGTGAGATCACAGCCAGCGTCAAAGACCTTCCTGGGCTCAAGTAAGAAAACATTTTCAACTTGAACATGTTGTTGTTGTTTTTTAAATGCATACTGCGTTTCTGATTCTAAAGTTGTTCTTTTATACCAGAACCCCTTTAGGAAGAGGCAGAGCATGGCTTCGTCTGGCTTTAATGCAGAAGAAGCTCTCAGACTACATGAAGACCATCATCAACCGAAAAGACCTTCTCGGGTACAGTTCCAGCTTTTGGTCTTTAATATAAAAGCCATAACTGTGGTTTTATGACCCAGTTTGGTAAATGTCTTATATTTGCTGTTGTTGTGTTCCTCAGTGAATTCTATGAGCCCAATGCTCTTATGATGGAGGAGGAGGGAGCCGTGATCGCTGGGCTGTTGGTGGGCCTGAATGTCATTGATGCTAACTTGTGCATGAAGGGAGAAGATTTAGACTCACAGGTATTTGTTAATTAGTTTAACTGTACACAAGTAATGAAGGACAAGATATGATGGAACAAAGCATTATCTTTGTTACATTTTTCTTTATTTTTGAGTGTGTGTGTTGGCCAACAGGTGATACAGGGCAATAAGATCTCCTCTACTCTCTCAATAGGTTGGAGTCATAGATTTTTCCATGTATCTGAAAGACGGTGCACACAGCAGCAAAAGCACAGAGGGGTGAGTCAATATTCAACTTCCTCAATGGAAGCTAATTGTGTTAGTCTGACAGGTTTTGGACTACTCGTGAAAATCTCAGAGCTTCCTCTAAAGCTGCTTTTTGTTTGCAGTGATGGACAAATCACAGCTATTCTTGACCAGAAGAATTACGTTGAGGAACTGAACAGACATTTAAGGTGCAGTCCCATTACCCAACATCAGATTTGTGGGGTGTGTTTGTGACTAGCTGCTCATTTGGAAAGCATGAGCAATCTCACATTGTCACTCTAAATTCCCCTTCCCCAGTGCGTCAGTGAATAACTTGCAAGCCAAAGTGGATGCGCTGGAAAAGTCCAACTCAAAACTTACAGAGGAGGTGGGTAATAATTATAATTGAATTGATTACTGAAGTTGTGGTAAATACAAGAGCATAATAAACAGGAGAAAAATTATTTACAGAACTGATAGATAATTTACATGTTAGCAGAACTGAATTCATCTGACATATTCATGCACACAGCTGTGTATACTGTACACTACTGTTCAAAAGTTTGGGGTCAGTAAGATTTTTAAAAATATGTTTTTCAAAGAATTCTCTTATGCTCACTAAGGCTGCAGTAATTTATTTCAAAAATAGAACATTGTGAAATATTACAATTTTATATTTTTAATTTCAATTATTTATTATTAATTCAATTTACAATAGAAATGTTTACTATATTTTAAAATGTAATTTATTCCTGTGATGGCAAAGCTGAATTTTCAGCAGCAAATAAAAAATATTTTGTAAAATTATAACTTTACTATCTGTCTTTACTATTACTTTTGATCAGTTTAATGCGTCCTTGTGATTAAAAATATTAATTTCTTTCCAAAAAGAAAGTAAATAAAAAAAAAAAGTGCTTACCCCAGATTTTTTAATGGTAGTGTATGTGGTTTAATGGTAGTGTATGTGGTTTATTGACACACTTACTGTGGTTTGTGGGACTTAATAAAGTAATGAGATAACTAGCTGTGAATAGATGCTAGTAATAATCAATTTCTTGTTCCAACTGTCTGTGCATGTGTTGTTCTTGGTGTCTAGCTTGCCGTTGCAAACAACAGGATCATCACTCTGCAGGAGGAGCTGGAAAGGGTGAAGGATGAAAGCTCTTACTTGGTGGAGTCTAGTCGCAAGGTGAACAACATTGTTTTGATCCCACAGTGCTAATTGTTAACAAGCATTCAATAGAACAACAGTGATGGCTACTCATTATTCAAAAGCAAGCCACAAGCTTATAGTAGTTCACAGTAGGGTTATAACATATTTTTTTTGGTTTTGTCACATTCTTTGCTCTGATATTTGACCTGTGTTTCTCTTGAAGGCATCAAGGGCAGATGGTACTGCAAACGGTCAAGTGCTTGGGGAAACTCGCAAACAGCTCAAAGAGGAAACTCAGCTCAGACTGGTGAGTAAAACATTCATGTGTGTATATCACTGTCTTTATCTTCAGAGTCATCTCTGATGTGGGGTCTTCAAAGAATCAAGTCTGAAGAATCTGAATTCTTAAGAAACAGAGTGTGTTTGTGTAGGATGTCGAGAAGGAGCTGGAGGTGCAGATAGGGATGAAGCAAGAGATGGAGCTGTCCATGAAGATGCTAGAGAAGGACATCTGTGAAAAACATGATGCTTTGGTGGAGCTCAGACAGCAGTTAGATGAAATGCGTACACTCAACCATGAGCTCTCCATTAAGTCACAGGTATGCGTAAACATCTTATTTAGTTACATTTTTGAATAACTAAACCTGGCTATTTTCCGTTAGAAATCGCATATCACAATTCACAAGTTTAACACTGGAGCGCCGACTTGTTCCACACATGGAAGCTGCGTGTAAGCAGGACATATTTTTTTCCTTCCCAATATTAATAGGTTACACTATGGAGGAGTTAAAGGGGTCATATGATGCTGCTAAAAAGAACATTATTTTGTGTATTTGGTGTAATGAAATATGTTTATGTGGTTTAAGGTTCAAAAAACACATTATTTTCCACATACTGTACATTATTGTTTCTCCTCTATGCCCCGCCTTTCTGAAACGCGTCGATTTTTACAAAGCTCATCGGTCTGAAAAGCAAGGTGTGCTGTGATTGGCCAGATATACAATGCATTATGATTGGCCGAATACCTCAAACGTGTGACGGAAATGTTACGTCCCTTACCATATTGTGATGATGCCCTGTCAGGCCGGAGCAATGATTCAAAAACATGAAAACCCATTATAAACGAGGCATTCGTTGCATCCAGTGGGGACATAATTATGGATTATAATGACTTATACTGTCTTTTTACGCGTTGCGTTGCATCACGCCGCGTAAACATAAAACCATGTCTGCATTTGTGATCGGAGAAATGACAAACAACAAGCCCTACTCTACACTGCCCAAACAACTCGCTTTAAATATAAAATATAAAAAAACATACTTACAGTCTGTGAGTCAGAACAGCTGGCGTTGTAGTCTACTCTACCAGGATCAGTAAACAGTCCTCCATAAAATGTGCTGCACACATCAGAATATTTGTGTAAGTGTTCTGGAACAGTGTTGTAAATACAACTTAACCACTGATTTCTAGTCGTGTCCATTTTTGAAAGGCCAAACAAAGTAGTTTTGCTTTCACAACGAAACACAGCGTCACACACGGCAGCCTAGAGTGAGCAGAGGCCGTTGGCTAGAGTGAGGAACGGTCGAAGGGCTAGAGTGAGCAGAGGCGGCGGGCTTGATAAAGGCGTTGCCGGCGGATTCGACGAAGGAGGCTTGCGGCAACCACATGTGACGACCCCGGGCTGGACTCTGCTTCGTCCACGGTGAAAGCCGATCCGGCGATCGACAGCGCAAAGTTGATGTATTTCCTCAGCGACCAGCACGGATCAGCTCCAGGCATGACGAAGCAGATATCGTCCTCTTTTGGAAGACCAAACAAAGTAGTTTCGCTTTCACAACGAAACACAGCGTCACACACGGCAGCCTAGAGTGAGCAGAGGCCGTTGGCTAGAGTGAGGAACGGTCGAAGGGCTAGAGTGAGCAGAGGCGGCGGGCTTGATAAAGGCGTTGCCGGCGGATTCGACGAAGGAGGCTTGCGGCAACCACATGTGACGACCCCGGGCTGGACTCTGCTTCGTCCACGGTGAAAGCCGATCCGGCGATCGACAGCGCAAAGTTGATGTATTTCCTCAGCGACCAGCACGGATCAGCTCCAGGCATGACGAAGCAGATATCGTCCTCTTTTGGAAGACCAAACAAAGTAGTTTCGCTTTCACAACGAAACACAGCGCCTTCACGACATGGCGGTGGCAGCAACAACAATACTACAGCGAGAATAAAAGTTACACCTTCTTTCTTTGCGTGAACATTTGGGCGGCGTTATGCAAATCTTCCCAGATAGTGACGTAGACATGTGGGAGCGTGTTAGAACAAGCCGCTTTAGGTAGGCGTGGTTAGCTCTTAACTTTTATAAAGAATATCTCTTTGGATTTGAGACTTTAGTCTCTGCAACTTTACAGATCTTCTTTATGCACCAAGAGCTTGTAACACTCCAAAGAGAAAGGAAAAATTTAAATCGCATCATATGACCCCTTTAACAACCAAACTGATCTGATATGACAATGCCAACATAAAGAAGCAAGTAGAGTAGACTTGAGGTGCCCGAGTCACATAGTGTGTTTCAGGACTTTCTATTCATCTGTCTGAATCCCGCTGCTGCTTCACATGGCTTGCATGTGTTGAATTGTTAATAAAATTAAGAACATTACAACTAGATTTGTACCACTTATCTAATGTAGCAAAACTGCATTTATTTTTGATGCAGTGTTTGTGTTTGTCTGGCTTGTAGAGCTCAGAGGCCAGCGCAAAACAGAAGAATGACATCATCAGCCGCTTGGAGGAGAAAACAAACCAGATGGGGAGCATTATTAAACAGCTGGAGAGCAGGTAAAGGAGTTTAACTGCATATGCACAGCATTTAAAACATGACATGTACACTGCAAAACAAAGAGGGGGGCCCAAAAGTCTGAGAGCACGAGTGAAATGCCTCTTCTAATTTCAATAAACAATATATAACATTTTATCAGCGTAATAATTTGATAAGTTGCAAAGAAGAACATATTACTGTCTGTATGAACTGTTTGCACTATATATATATATATATATATATATATATATATATATATATATATATAAACCGAAACTCTTTATCTTTTTTTTAAATTGAGAGTCTGCAGGACGAGGTGGAGCAGTTACGGAGACAGAGGTACTGAGATTTACTTACTGTTGTCTACTAGTCAACCAATATATTTTGTTTCAGTGAAGCAGAGGTTATACATATATTATTATTTAGTGTTAACATATTATAGAAAGATACAGTTTTTAATTAGTTAATTTGGCATTAAGCATCATGAACTAACAATGAATCATCCAGGTTAATATTAGTGAGCATATACACTACTGTTCAAAAGTTTGGGATCAGGAAGTAATTTAAAAAAAATAAATTAATACTTTTATTCAGTGGGGATGCATTAAATTTGATTCCATTTTGTCAAAATTGTTTACAAAAAAATTGTTTTAAAGGGGTCATATGATGCGATTTCAAATTTTCCTTTCTCTTTGGAGTGTTACAAGCTCTTGGTGCATAAAGAAGATCTGTAAAGTTGCAAAGACTAAAGTCTCAAATCCAAAGAGATATTCTTTATAAAAGTTAAGAGTCAACCACGCCTACCTAAAACCGCTCGTTCTAACACGCCCCCACATGTCTACGTCACGATGTGGGAAGATTTGCATAACGCCGCCCAAATGTTCACGCAAAGAAAGAAGGCGTAACTTTTATTCTTGCTGTTGCCGCCGCAGTCATGTTGTGGAGACACTGTGTGTTTCGTTGTGAAAGCAAAACTACTTTGTTTGGCCTTCCAAAAGAGGACACGACTAGAAATCAGTGGTTAAGTTGTATTTACAACACTGTTCCAGAACAATTCAACCCAAATATTCAGATGTGTGCAGCACACATCTCGACCTCGTGCTACTGTAAACTGTGCAGTCTGCACGCATGGAAACTGCTGCGTCCTCCTGATACAGCGAACAAGAGACAACAAGAGCGCGCTCCTACTGAATGCAGACATCTTGCGCTGTACAAAACTTGCACGAAAACCTAAAGTATTGAGACAGCTTTAAGTTAACGGCATGTTTCGGCATCAGAGGACAACGTGACGCCAACAACACGCGCCTCTGGCCTTCTTCTTCTTCTTCTTCTTCTTCTTCTTCTTCTTCTTCTTCAACTTATTAGGGCTGAACTTGAGTCTGAACATATTACTGCCTTGGATATTTTAACTTCACTAATCCACCTTATTGCCATAATTATTGCAAACATTTATCTAGTAAACACTGATAAACAATCTGATATTCTACTGCTCTTATTTAATTTTAACTTTGGTATTACAAATGCAGAGCCCACATGACCCGTTTTTGGATCCTTTGAGGCATCTGTGAAAATGTGCATATATTCTCCATACCTTGACCCCATATATTCCCTTACATCATAAACCTCTGTTTCGTAAGC